AGCCCGGGCCGCGCCGGCTCGCCGCTCCCGGTCCGTCGGCGCCCGGCAAGCGCGGCGCTCACGGAAGGGCGGTGGCAGCGCCCTCTGCTTTTCTTCTCACTTTCTCGGCGGTTCTGCCCCTGAAGTTGAACGCGGATTAAAGGGCAGCAATACCTTGTGTTAAGAGAAGAAAATGTGGGAGCCAAATGGGACTGAGAGGGAGAGAGGCGAGCGGGAGGCCAGAGAACGAGGGAGCAAGTTGGCTCCGCTGGGCTGGGGACGGAGGGTCCTTTGGGGCGGAGTTTCACGTGAGGAGTGCACGCAGGGGCTGGGACGTGTAAAGACAAGGTGGCCTGGACATCGGAGTCCCAGGCAAAAGAAAAGTGTATGGTACTTATGCTGCCAGAAACGATGGCCAAGGTTTTGTTTCTCACCTTTCCGTCTGCAGACCAGTGGATCCCGATCATGTAAGTCTGTATTATTCCCAATTTGCACTCGAGGACACTGAGGCAAGGATAGGCTAAATGACTTGGCCTGGCCACACAGCTCTTAGCGGCCGACCCAGGACTCAAACCCACATCTCTCTGACTCCAAACCCATAGTATTTGCTGGTGTAAGACAGATGGTCCCACCTTAGCACAGATTGAACCCACACCTTGTTTGGAGGACAAGCAGATAGATTTGCAGGTAGGTATGTGCTCTGAATTCTTTCAGGCTCGTATTTCACAATGGACATAATCAGTGCATCTTCACCCCCGAGGATGTTAAGGAAGCCTGTCATTAGCAGGAATCTCTGAATTCCTAAACCCTTGCCAGAGTGAGTCCTTAAGGAGCTGTTGTCTCCAGTGAACCCAAGTCTCTTTGTGGCCTGTTAGGGAAATTCCCTGGGCCCTAGGCTGGTATCTCTGTGCAAAATTATTGGACTATCCAATAGGATTTTTAAAACCCCCCAAAGTCCCATTCTTCTACAAATGAAATAGACAAAAGTAAAGAGGGAAAGACCAGCAAAACAAGCTAAACTTGAAGGTTTCATGGGACTTCTTGCAACCTACACAGAAATCTCTGCTGGGCTGTGAAGAACCGCTGGGAAAAACTGGGATTCTCAGCCCCTTTGGTATTTTTTACAAGATACTTACTCTGGAGCCTAGGGAGGTGGGTGCCTGGGTGGTGATGGTAATGGGACATGGGGGTCCTCTAAGAATGTGGGTCTCTTTCCTGTTTATCCTCAGCAAATAAAAAACACACCTGGTTCTCTTAGGCTCTTCAGTAGTTTCTCTTCAGAAGATTTCAAGATACCAGTAAGGATTTTGTTTTTGCTTCCATTACTGCTTTAATTCTACTTAATGTCTACACACTCATAAGTCACCAGAACACACCCTAATCCTCACCCAAAAAACGAGATCAAGATTCGACAAGCCTAGCCATCTAAGAAAATCAGTGGGAAGCCTGCTTCTCAATTATAATGTTTTACATGAGGTCCAATACGGTGCAGGGGGATTGCTGTTTAAGAAGCGCTGTAGAGTAGTACCTCCGTGTGCCATCTGATGGCTCATTTATTACTAAACCTCATATAGCTCCCCTACTGATGATGAAATTCCCCAGAGGAGCAGTAGCAAGTTCTCCTCCTGGTTATCTTTCTTCCATATTTACAGGTTAAGAACTGAAGCCACCAAGAAGGGGCTTAGCACAACCTGACACCCAAGCCTTATGTTTTGGGGTGGACGGATGCCCTCGTGGGTCTGCGGCTAATTAGGCAGACAGTCAAGCGAGGAAGGGAGCCGGTTCCATGGGCTTGCATGGGAATAGCCGTGAACCCCTGCAATGGCAGGGGCTTCTGTTTCCAGGCACCTGTTCCAAGGCAGAATTGGGCCATTTTCTCCAGGTGGGCCAATTTCCATAGTCTTTTCGTCATGACAGCCCACAGGGGCCTAAGGTCAGGCTTTCCTTGTATGGAGGAGGAACCCCCCGCCTCTCCAGAGGGTGGTCGGGGAACCTCCTCCTTCCTGCTAGTACCCTGAAGAGAAGAGACTCAGGTGAGTTAATTGACTCTGACAGCCCACCGCCCTAAGCCAGTGCGGTTGGCTCCTGAGCAGCTTCCTCATCTGGTCTTGGAGCCCTTTGCTACTTGTGGGTGCCCCTGTGCACCTCACTCCCAGGGCATGGCTGCTACTGCGGTGCCCCGTGCCCCAGACCGTTCCTGGCGATCGTGCTGGAGACCATTCCAGATACAGTTCCGAGGCAATCTGGCGGCAAGTCTGGGCTGAGATGCTGTGTTAGAAACCATGGGCAGTGTAGATGTTTGCCTTTTGACTGAGACCATCTACAGACCGTGCATCGCTCCCAGGGCTGGCTCTGGGACAGGGAAGCTGTGGGCCTTTGCTGTGGCAGAACAGTGAGGTAGGTACTCAGGGTTTTCAGCGCCTCTTAAATCATCCCGAGCGAGCCACTTACTTCCCCACGCACGGGCTGCCGCTGGCTCCGTCACAAGAAGATGAACTACAAGTAATAAAATCAAGATGAAGTTCTGTGTAAATCTTTCCAGCTCACAAAGATGGTAGAAAGTTTAAGATGAAAGGACTGTTAAAGACCATCTACTTCAACCTCCTCATTCCGAGGCTGTGAAAACCCAGGCCCAGGGAGGCGTGTTGATGACCCGACCATCACACAGCGGCTCCGGCTCCCGGGCGGGAGCTGCATCAGCTTTCCGTGGCTGCGGCGTGACATCCTTGCCATCCCACTAGTCCTAGAGCGTCTTTCGACTTTTGCAAACAGGTAAAGAGAAATCAGTCTTTCAGCATCTTCCCCTCCCTCTATGTTTATTGTTTCCAGCTGCTAAAAATTGGCACTTTTAAAAGTGGGTCGTCCTGCCAAGCATAGAGGATCAGGCCTCTGGTGAGCGTTGATTTAGAGGAGTGAGAACCAGCCGGTAGTTGGAGACATAACGGCCAGCCTCCTCCCTGGCATCTGGGGACTTCTGTCATTCAAGTCACTGGGTGTGCGCCCTCGGCCAATACTAAACCACAGAGGCAATTGCCAACTCCAGTACTTTTGCCCTCCGGGGATGGAAAGCTGGATGAAATGGCATTTCCTAATCTCGTTGGCCTTGGATGGAAAGATGTTTTTGCCTGATGGAAGCCTTCAGAGTGTAGGTGTGTATTTAGGGCCTGCAGCACTCTCCAGGGTCCTTTAAGGGCCCAGGCTGTCGAGAAATACTCACAGATGGTTCTGGCGTGGCCTTTGCCTCATTTAAGACCTTTGGGTTGCAGTCGTCAACTTGAGCTGGCTTAAGCCTTATGGGAAATGTGTCATAAAGCAGGGTTTCATCAAGTCCAAGGGCAGATGGCTGCCAGGCACCCAGGCAGTCCCCCTTCTCCAGCTTTGTCTGTGCCCCCAGTCTCTCTCCCTCTCCGAATTCGACTTTCATTTCTTCTTCTCTGTGGGTGCGGGACTGGGTGGGAGATGATCCCACTGCAGCTACCAGGTTACATCTCTCCTGAAGGCATTAGCCAGGCGACTGGCCGTCATCAGTCTAATACCATATTCCCGGGAGGGAGAATGGGACTGGCCCAGCTTGCAGCAGGTGCACAACCTGATGCAACCGAGGTGGCAGCAGGTAGGGCGCCCGGGGACAGATTGAGGGGCAGTTCTCCCAGATGGGAGAGGAAGTAGGGTGGGCAGACGTTTCCAAAGTGTGACTGTTACAGACTTTCATAGAATTAGTTTTTGATATAGAAAAGTGGTATGGTGCAGGTGGAAGTCTGGGATAATTCAAGCACAATAGAGATTTTATTTGCCTAAATTCTTTTTTTCCCCCCACAGATTAAAATCTTTAATGTATTACATCACTTACACCATTGATTACATTAATAAATATATTTCAAACTATAGTCACATTTGAATCTCTCAAGACTTTGAATATCAAAAAGACAAATTTACAATTCTACCAACGCACTTAAACTCACAAATTAATGTCTAAATCCTTTTCCCAAGCATGGTTTTGAAAACCTAAACATTTAGTTAGTTAGTTATTTTTTCCCTGCTTTTTTTTTTTAATTGAAGTATAGTCAATTACAATGTGTCAATCTCTGGTGTACAGCACAATGTCCCAGTCATTATTTGCCTAAATTCTTGAGTGACAAATTCTCTATCATGAAGCAGTGTCTTTTTTAGAGAGCAGTTTCCTTGCAGCTCAGCCCCTGTCCTCTGGGCTTTAAGAAAGTGCAGTCAATCAATCTTAATGTCTTAATCTTTCATGTGCTGATCATATATATTTTCATTCTGTTGATGAAGTGTGTTAGTGGGGTAGATCCTGAAAATGAAATAAAGGATCAATTTTTAATTTGTATGTGTTGATATATATAGATAGATATATGTGTGTGTGTGTATATATATGTACACACGCACACATACCTATATTTTCAGGTACCCAGCGTACTTCCAGAAAGGATTGGAAGGAACTTCTAATAATAACACAGAAGAAATACGACAAAAACCCATGAACACTAAAAAAGAAGTGAGAGCCCCAGTAGCAGACAGGTTGCAGTTGAGCAGCGGCGGGGAGGGGCAGACTCTTAATTCCTCGCCTGAACTTTCTAATACGCAAGGCAAAGAAGCAAGTATCATGAAGGAAGTAGCCATTATTATTTAAGCATCTAGAAGAACTCTAGAATAGTGGAAACATCTAGAATAGTGGAAACATCTAGAATGGTGGTTCTCAAAATACAGTCCAGGGACTCCTGGGGTCCTCAGAACCCTTTCAGGAAGCCCATAGATCAAGACTATTTTCAAAATAGTACCGAGACATTGCCTCTGTCACTCGTTCTCCTGGGTGTACAGTGGAGTTTTCTAGAGGTTACATGCCATGTAATCTGATCACAGATTGCATGCAGAAGTAGGTATGAGAGCCCAGCTGTCTTCTACTAAGCTAGACTTTCGAGAGATTTGCAGAAATTTAAAAATAATCTCACTTCTCTCACTAATTTGTCTTTGTTTTGGAAAATGTATTTTCATGAAACATACATTACGTTGATGTACTTTGGACTTACTGCTTTTATTTTAAATGAATTAATAAATGCTTAATTTTGTTTTAATTTTAATATGGTAAGTACTGATGGATATATCCTATAGAAGCAAAAGCTCTTTGGGGTTCTCAACAATTTTTATGAATGTAAAGGGTTCCCGAGACCAAAATGTTTGAGAAGTGCTATCGAGAATCTTACTGTCCATTTGTGTCTGAGATGGTGATGTTTGCCGCCAGAGTCCCTTTTTAGAAGGCACTGGTCATGTCTCTATTTGATCACTATGTGCAAAACTAAAATCATTTGATTAATAGATAAAGTATTATTTTTGTACACAGACATTCATTTATTCCTCATTTTATCTGTGCAAGAAACATTTATTGAGCACCTGTTATACATGTTCCAAGTGTGATACCTGTCTCCATGGAGACAAGGAAAGGCCGCAACAAATGGGACCCCTGCCCTTGTGGAGATTTGTGATGTAGTTTGCAAAGGGGGAACGATGATGACTTGAAAATAACAGGATCAGTGTAAAACCAGATGGAAGCTGCTTTTGTTTCTCTTCACATGAGCTGCCAATTAAAACAAATACTATTTATTTTACTGACAAATACTATGTATTTTACTGAGTCTGAAGATTTGGGGTATTGGATTTACTGGTGATTCAAGTTACAGTAGCCCTGGTCAGTTATCATTGTGTTTAAAGGTATGGCATGTTCTGAGAAAACTCAGTAGAGATGAACCAAAATCGACATTAGAAAGTATTATACTTGTATTTCAAATAGATTTTTCATTTTGGAAATACTGGACTTATTGACTGCTTTATTAATGAGATGAACAGTTCATCAGATGCTTAAAATGTGATTCAGGTGATCACAACTGACACAACATTTCAGTAACGTGTACAATGCACTTAGGAAGACAAAACTACATTGTACAGTTATAGTAAAAAAGAAGGAAGGAAGTTTCTAGGTGTGGCAATGTCTGATGTTAGGTGAGCCTCTGGCAAGGAGGAAATGTCTAGCGTTGGTAAAAGAGAGATGCCAAAGAAAACACCAACTGCGAGGTGTAATTAGAACTTCATTTCCTTCTTTCACAGCATGGTTGGGCTGGAAGGTCAAGGTGGTACGTACACATCTCAGTATGTTAGACAAAAACCTCTTATAGTGTCTTTGTTGATTAATGGAGAGATATGGGGTCGGTATAGGGCAAACTGGACTGATTTACAGCTGGTTGAACAATCACTTCCCCAAAGTCTTGATAATAGACCCATTCCAACTTTGACGGAGGTCTCCGTTGACTTGCCACAGGACCCCATCTTCAGCTGCCCTCGGTACAGTGTTGTTATAAATGATATCCTGAGGAAATCTGTTGATGGCAGAGATGGGAGGAATAGCTTATACATTAAGATGCCAGAACCAGGGTCCCAAAATATTTTGAAAAACTGAAACAATGTGCCAAATCTAATAAGTCAGAATTTAATAGGGAAGTATTCTACCATTGGGCCTTCAAAAGCCATCCAAACAAGTCTAGGATGTTTGGAACCTAGCGTGTTTAAGTGGAACCAGGATGAAGCAAATACAAAAATGTGTCTAGAAAGGCCTTGTGATGAGTAGGCACCACTTGGCTTCTAGGATGTTTCCTGAAGCTCCATGATACCAGCTGGTGTTAGGCCAGGGGGCAGGAGCATGAAGGTGGGGAAGAAACTCAGGAGGAGTGTGGTTTAAGAGTGCAATGTGCAAAAGGAAACAGCCAACTCAATAAGTGGCTCCCTAAAGTGCAATATGGGAGGTCTCAGATCTTATTAATGGGAATATTATGTCTAGAATAAAGGAGGGGTGGTACTGCTCTACTCTGCAAGTTAGGCCTCTCCTGGAATATTGGAGGCAATTCTGGGTTACTACCTTTTACAGAGACTTTGACCAGACAGAAAAATAGAGAAGACAGCAACTAAGATGGAAGGGGTCTTGAAATCCTGTCACAATCCTGCAGTGAGGCCCCATTGAGGCCACAGGACTCCTGGCTGCCTCTCAGACCTCACTTCTGCCCGCTCCCCTGCTGTCTGCACTTCAGCATCGCTAACCTTGATATTCCTCAGACCTCACACATCTCTCATTGCGGGGCCTTTGCTGCTCCTCCCCCCGCCCCCACATTCATGTGGCTCATCCCCACAGTCCAGTCAGGTCTTTGCTCAGATGTCACCTCCTCATGAAGATTCCCTTACCTCCCAGAGAAGCACTCCCCTTCCCAGTCTCTGAACTTGCTTTTCCTTCAGTGGTTTTATCTTTACTGATGTGACATTATACATTTACTTGTTTAACTGTTTGTTTTCTGTCTTTCTCAATAGAAGAGGGGTCCCAGGAGGGCTGGGGCTTTGTCTGGTTCCCTCTTTTGTCCCTTGCTCCTGATACACCTCACTGAGCAATTTTTAACAGACTCGATGCAGAAAGCGAGGCCCTGCTGCAAACCTACAAGAGTAAAGCCTCTGGGAGCTTCTCAGATACTGAAGGAGCTATGTCATGGACGAGGCTTTTCCTGTGTGGCCGGGCTAGAGGGACGAGTGGATGCTGAGGACAGAAGCTTCGAGAATCTCAGGCTCTGGGTTAGGAAATGTTTCTCAGAGTCGGAAAGGGTGGGCCTTTGGGAGCATACCTTCACACCTGAGGACACACATACTGAAGAAGCCACTTGTCAGGGACATTGTTTGGAAGTTGAATTCATTAATACTGAAGACTTTTTCCATTCTGAAATTTTGGGAGATTGTCCCACATCAGCCCATCTCTTTCTCATTAAAGCATTTTTGAATATAGCCTACCAAAATAATTTAAATAAATAAAATACAAAATAAAAATACCAAAAAAAAGACGAATCAATTTTTAAAATAACGACATGTGAACGCATTTTCAGTGTTTTTCATGTGATAATGGCATTCAGTTTGTAGAAATGGTGATGCCCATTTTCTGAAAGATGGAACAGAATATGTGAGATTTAGAGGAGAAAGACTTTGATGTCATGGGAATCCTGTCATTTTCTGAGAGCATCCTAAGAATGATCAAAATGTACCTAACTTTTCTTATTCGCATGCCTGATGAGCTTATAAATAATCTTAAATGTTGCTTTCTGAGTGTCTTTCTAGGTAAGACATGGTATTGGTCCCAAGGAGAATGATTTTAGCTCTCAATAGCTGGGAAAGGAAGTGAATTATCTGTTTGTAACTACTAGGGCATTTTGGATAGTCAGGAGTTATTGTGGTATGGACAGACAGACAAAAGTGTGAACAAGACTATGGTGTGCTTTTTCTTTCTTTTTTTTTTTTTTTGGAGGGGGAAGGTAATTAGGTTTATTTCTTCACTGATTTTAAGGGAGGTACTGGGGACTGAACCCAGGACCTTGTACATGCTAAGCACACACTCTACCACTTGAGCTATATACCTTCCCCCTGGTGTGCTTTTTCAATGAGGCAAAGTTTTCTTTCTTTCTTTTTTTTGAAAATAGCACTAAATGTTGAGTATCAACCCAGAGCTCAGAGAACACAGAACATAGAGGTCTGTGTATTTTTATAAATTGAAACAAATAAAAAAGTGCTTGTAGAGGACTCTGTGTTTCTCACTCGGGGGAAAAGGCACAAAATATCGGTGTGGAGGGATTCCAAGAGCCTTCAGCCAGTATTTGCAGCACTGACCGACTCCCACAATCCTGCAGCAGGCCAAGAGCAGAGATATGGCCTGAAAGTGTGTCATGGGAATTTGTGACTGTTTTTCTGGCTATGCGATGAGATTTTTGCTGCCTAGAAACATCGGAGGTTGGAACCCCACAGCTAGTGTTCTGTTAACCTAATAAGTAGAAAAGAAAGTCTTTCCTGGAAGTCTGGACTTCTAAAACTTATTTCAAAAAGTGAATAAGAAAACCCAAATATAATTTTAGCACATTAAAACAATAACAACCAAAACAGAGCTATATAAAAGCTATATAAAGAATGAACCTTCTTTCTCTCCCAACATCAGCCAGATTATAAACAGTTTCATGAGAAGGGAAGGAAAATACTTGATTGTTGAGTACTAGTTCCTGAGGAGTGTCCCAGGAAATGATTTTGAAGTGAAATGGCATCAGTGAAGCCAGAGCAGATCCAAGAACAGAAATTGGGATGCTCCTGTTTCCTAGTCCTGGGATGCAGGACAATTAATGTTTCCCTGGGCATCAGCACCAGATGGTGGCTTTCCTGTGGGACTCCATATCACTTGGGCTGGCCTTTGGGTCTGACTCAGTGCTGTGTGCAGGGCCTCTCTCTCCTGATTTCTCTTGTACCCGACAGGATAAATCAGTGAAACCCAGACAAACAGTGATCTGAGCCACACTATTTATTGTTTAAGCTTTTCAGACCCCCCGCCCCAGGTTGTGCGCTCCCCATGATAGGGACAAATCTTGTTCACCACTGCATCTGAGCAGCTAGCACGACCCAGCCCTGAAGTCGGCCGTGGGTTAAGGTGTTTTGCATGTTACCGTTAAATAAAGTGAAGAGGTCTGAAATGTTAACGTGAGCCCACAGTAAAGGATCACAGAGACTGCGCTTCTGTTTGAGGGCTGGCTTTCTTCCCCCATATGATTCTTAGATGTTCAGGTAATGGGCACTAGAAGCCCCTCTGGTCACCTGAAAACTCAGTTCTTTAGCGGTCTGGGTAGTAAGGACAGGGTCTGAGTCCTTTCTCACCACTGAATCTCAGGGTACAGTGTTTGGCACCAGTAGATGATCAGTGAGCACTTGTTAAATAAAAGACTTGAGTGATCGCTGCGGCCCGACTTGCGCCTCCTCGGCTGCTGTCATTACCCAATTTATGTTGGGAAAGTGAATTCCCCTGAAGGACTAATATGTCAGGGTAGCAAGCCCTTTTCCTACCCCTCCCTGGGAAAGTGAGGAGGAACCTGGGACAAAACTTCCCATGGTCAGGGTCCTGACAGACCGATGGCCTTGGGTTTTAGGGGTGAGCCGGCGCCCCTGGCCTCGCTCATCAGGCCAGAAAAGGCCCAGAACAAGAGCCGGCAGCTTGGGAGGCCAGGAAGGCATTTCCTCCCCCACGTGACAAGGTCACTCCTCCCGCTCCCGCCGGAGCCGCGCAGCCACCAAGTGTTTCAAAGGTGAGGACGGAAAAAGTGTGGCGGCGGCGGCGGGCGGC